CATCCCGACAAAGCTTTAAAGTCCAAGATGTGGAGTATAGCCACTAGTACAAGTATGAAAGAGTTCAACAAGGCCATGGAAGACATGAAAGATTTTGATTGTGAGGCCTTTAAATAGGTGAAAAAAGCACCTCATGCCAGGCACTGGTGCAAGGCATTTTTTCCAGTCCATACGAAATGTGATATGCTGGTAAATAATATTTGTGAAACCTTCAATGCGTTCATTCTTGAAGCCAGAGACAAACCAATAATGTCAATGCTTGAACAAATAAGAAAGAAGGTGATGCAGAGGATCCAACAAAGAAGAGAAGAGATATCTAAATGGACTGAACCAGTAGGGCCCCTAATCAAGGAATTGATTGAGGATAGAATTAAGCAGGCCTGCCTTTGGGAGCCAATCTGGAATGGTTTGTATGGCTACCAAGTAAAAGGTCCTCGGGCAGCTCAATATGCAGTAGATTTCAGGAAAAACACATGCACTTGCCAACTTTGGGAGATAAGTGGGATTCCTTGTATTCATGCCATTTCTGCAATGCTGGTGTCTGATAGAAATCCAATGCAATTCACAGCCCCATGCTACTCAAGAGAGTTGTTTGCTAAAATTTATAAGAATGTCTTGGAGCCAATTAGTGGGGTCTCGCTTTGGCCTAATTATGAGCATTTGGAAATGGATCCTCCAATCGCTTGTGTACAACCTGGAAGGCCGAAAAAGGCTAGAAGAAGGGATATAACAGAGGAAAAGGGAAATGGTACCAAGCTGCGCAAGATAGTTGTGATGCACTGTAGAAAATGTGGAGAAACTGGCCACAATGCTGCAACTTGTTCAAGAGATAGAGGGACTGAGCAGCAACAGCAAAGCCAAAATTCAGAAAAGCAACAGTCCAAACGAGTATGAAATTTAAATTTTTACTAACATTGTTTGTACATTAATCCACATATTGATCTGGCCGGATTTACACTTTCAGAGAAGGAGAGGAAAGCAGGGTGTACCTGAATCTTCTCATGCAAATAAAGAGCAGGGACAACAATCTAACCAGCCTACCCAACAGTAGAATCAATCACAAAACAACCAACAACAACAGCCATCTCAAGCTAGACAACAGCACCAACCACCACCCTTCAGTCATCAACACAACAGCAAAAACAACGGCAACCACCCCAAAATCAAGCCTCCAGGACAAAGAAAAACAATACATTGACTGATGCTGAAAAGGGAAGGATAAACTCCAACTATGCTTATCTTGGAAAGCAGCCTCCTTTTACTGTAGGAAGATGGAAAGGAAGATGGGGCAAAGGAAGATCCACAAGAAGTGGTACTCAAAATCAAAGTGAAAGTGCTGGTGGAAGACGAAGAGGAAGTGGGAATCCAAATCAAGATGAAGTTGCTGGTACAGGAGGAAGAAGAAATGTCAATCCAACTCAAAGTGAGGGTGCTGGTGCAAGAGGAAGAGGAAGAGGATGTGTGCCTTCATCTTCAACTAACTATTAGATTTGTAGCGTAGTCAATGGCATTGGATGCCCTTTTACTTTTGCTTTCAGAACATGACTTGTCTCGTGCTATGTCGAGCATGAAAATGACTTGTTTTTTTGGTGGTTTATTCGTAGATGTCATACAGTTGGACCACCTTTTGTTTGTTAATTAAGTGGCTTGACTCTTGGTATTAATGATGTAATTATATGTTGGCAGTTGATATTTAATCAAAAAGGTTTTGGTTTCCCTATGTTCTATCATAATCCAGTTTTACACTATTCTAGCTTTTCCATTGTTAAACATGTTAAAATGAACACGTCAAACGGACCATTGTTCCAATTGTATATTGCTCACAAAAACAGAACAAACCAATATGATGCGATCATTAAAGCAAAACATGTTTTTCCAATACGTTCTGTGTCCAATTAAAGCAAAACATGTTTTTCCATTCACCCATGAACTACATTTGTACATTACATTCCAGTTCCACTTTCTTCATTCCTTTGCTTATAATACATCTTTTTGGGGTAATTGCAATAGATCGTTATTTCCTAAATTTCCAAACACCCAGACTGCAAATCCTGCTAACACAAAGCCATAGGTGATTGCAAGAGTTGAGCAAACTTCCTCTCCCTTGATGCATGTTGTTGCATCATAATTTCCAATCTTCGAACTTTTGTCTGCAATTTTGCTGCTTTGCACTCCCACTTTTGTGCAGACTCTTCGGCATTTGTGAGCTGTTTCTCCATTTGATTGATTCGCCGAAGCAACCCAGGTATAATCTCCATTGAACACGGACACATTTCTTCATCTATTCATTTCCAATACTTGCATCCCTAACCCAAATTCATAACAAACAGCAATTACTAACAACTTACCTGAGCAATTACTAACAACTTCACTAAATTACTGCTATCCATTACTTGAGCAACTGGACATTCCGCATATCTTCGACCTGAATTTCGTGGAGTCCATGACGTTTTCAGAATGGTACTCAATCCGCAGCCACACGTTGGAGGTATTGGATTTGATCTTGGCATCTTCCAGCTCCCAAAGCTTCCAATGTTATACGTGCAAGAAAACCCTAAATTTTCTTTTTTTTGCAAAAGAAGAAGATGAAATTTCAACAAATGGGCAAAACTCGATTTTTGGAAAGGATTTCCGTTGCTTCGATTTTGGCTTGCTTAAGAATTGAAGAGTTGCATCTTTCAATCTCTTTTTACACTCCTTAGTTGCTGGTCCCAAGGGTTCAAACATGAACGGACAAAAATGCCCTTTAATTCCGATCAGATTTGTGGTTAAAGTCATCAGAAGTCCTCAAAGTATACATTTTTAATTGTTTAAGAATCAATCGGAAACAAATTTTAGATGGGAGGCCAAAAGATGACAAAGACAATAGTTTAAGGGCTCCTCAAGTTTTTTCCTCTTTTTTAAACACCATAACTGGTGGAGAGTTTGCTATAGTAGAGATTTTATGGCCAACTTTGCTAAGCATCATTATTGATCTGCATGGGGTTAAAATACTTTCGGCTACCTACCGGTAATTTGCTTTTGAATGTGAAAAAAAACAATAGATAGACACAGAGAGATGTTACATTTGTTTTTCTGAACTAAGAAACTGTATTTTATACAATCAAAAATGGAAAACCACATACTCCTTTTTTTTTTTTCCTTTTTTGCTCTTTTCTCTTAAACATGTAAGTTATATATCTAACGATGCAAAACGATTTTGGTTCAACAATTTAAGCCAGAACTCTAGTATGTGTGGATATGTTTGTGTGTATGTATGTATGTAAATTATACAATATGCAATTGATAAATTTCCTTTTTATTAGGTGACACATTTTGTTGAAATTAATCGATGGGATGTTTGGATATTACTTATTTCATGTTACAACCAACCAAAAAAAATGGTTTAATTGTATTTTCCGTCCTCAACGAAAATTTTGTAAAACTCTCTCTCCATTAACAACCCTATATCCTTTACATCAACATTTGGATTGTTTAAATGAAATTGCAATTATAATGGTTGCTTGCTTGGGTTGATGTGTATTTGTGTGGTAAATACAAATCCTCCCTTACAAACAAATTCAACTCTAACAACAATATATTTTTGTAAGTATTACTTCCTCAAACTTCCACTAAATGGTTGGTTGAACTTCTATATTTTTTTTAATAAATAAATTTTTTATTTATAATTTCTTCCACTTTATCTAATCTTCCCCCATTAGACTTTTACAAGCGAAGTATTTAAATTTAGGGAAAATCGTCCAAAACGTCCCTCACGTTTTGTAAAATGACTTTTTTCGTCCCTCACTTTTAAAAGTGTAATTTTATATCCCTTACATATTCACATCGGTCAAATTTAGTCCCTAACTAGGTTTCCGATCATTTTTTGGCCGGAATCCATCATGTGCAAGGCACGTGATCATTTTTTAAGGGTAAATTTGTCAAATTATATTTTACATAATATGAACTATAGTCCTCCACATTTTATAAAATAAATTTTTTCGTCCCTCACATTTTATAAAATGATTTTTTTCATCCCTCACATTTCACAAAATGAATTTCTCCATCCCTCACATTTCAAAAAATGAATTTTTCATTTCTCACTAATTATGTGTGTGAATACATTTTTTTTAAACACATGTATATATCTATTTGATTTTGCTTAATAATAATAGCATAAACACATGTATGTAATTGGGCCCAACTTGTGGGTTATCTTCTCTTTTTATATGATTATGACTAATATTTACCAATAGAACCTTAATTTGCATATTCTTATTGTATTTTGACCGAAAATAGCTTTATTGGCCAACTTGACAATGAATGCAAGATTTTTTACTAGCTAATACCAGATGAAATCAAATGATTACGTATAATATATGGTATTCGTATTGTTAAGTGAAATCAAATAGACACATACATATATTTATGCTATTCGTATTATTAAGCAAAATCAAATAGACATATACATGTGTTTAAACAAAATGTATTCACACACATTTTTTTTAAGGGTTTCCCTCACACACATAATTAGTGAGGGATGAAAATATTTATTTTTTGAAATGTGAGGGATGGAGAAATTCATTTTGTGAAAATGTGAGGGATGAAAAAATTATTTTATAAAATATGAGGGACGAAAAAATTTGTTTTATAAAATGTGGAGAACTATAAATTAGATTATGTAAAATATAATTTGACAAATTTACCCTTAAAAATGATCACGTGCCTTGCACGTGATGAATTCCGGCCAAAAAATGATCGAAAACCTAGTTAAGGACTAAATTTGACCGATGTGAATATGTAAGGGACATAAAATTACACTTTTAAAAGTGCGGGACGAAAAAAGTCATTTTATAAAATGTGAGGGACGTTTTGGACGATTTTCCCTTAAATTTATACCATTTTTTATTACCGATAAAGCACAAAAACAATTTTCGTTCCACTTTGCAAAAACTATAAATACTAGTCTGATTCATAGATTTCACCCATGAAAATTTGAAAAGCTACACAGGAGAGAAAAATCGGAGGTAAAAAGTAAAAAGAAAGAAAGAAAGAAAGCAAATCAGAGGGGATGATATCGTCTTGGTGAAACTAATTTTACCAATTGCAAAGCCGTTAAACAATTAACACGTGATTAATTCTTGAGCTGTAGAAGCAGAAGATAATGGCGATGCGGAGAAGAGCTTCTTCTGCCATAATTCTTTCCATTGCTCAGTCTCAGGAAGCAGCGGCTTCAGTAGGTACTACTGCTACTGCTAGGTGTACTACTATTGCTTCATTTCTCTCTGCATTCCCAAACCCTAAACCCCAATTAGCTTTTTATTCTGCTATTAGTGGCAAAGTTGAGAGTTCTTCTGGAAAAGCTCTGAAATTTCAACCGGGATTGAGGAATGATATTAATAATGTCGACAGTCTTCATGATGCTCTGAGCTTGTACCGGCATATGGTCCGGATGAGGCCTCTGCCTTGTGTTATTCAGTTCAATCAATTGCTGAACCGTATTGTTAAGATGAAGAATCATTATGTATCTGCTATTTCCCTTTTTAGAGATATGTGTGTCAAGGGCATTCCTGCTGATGAGGCCACCCTCAGTGTTGTGATTAATTGTTACTGCCTCCTGGGTCGAGTGGATTTGGGGTTTACTGTGTTGGCTGCTTTCATGAAGCGTGGTCTTGTCCCTAATGTGGTCACCTTTAGTACTCTACTCAAAGGACTCTTTCGAGAATATAGGGTCCCCCAGGGACAGGAATTGTTTAAGAAGATAATATTCGAAAAACTTTGCGAGCCCAATGAAGTTATGTTTCTGATTGTGATAGATGGGCTTTGTAAGGTAGGGAACATTCAAACGGCCATTGAATTCCTAAGAGTCATGGAAAAAAGAAGAAGATGTAAGCCCAACGTTAATGTGTACAGTACAATCATTGACAGCTTGTGCAAGGATAAAATGGTTGATGAAGCTCTTGCCCTCTTGCAGGAGATGATTGAAAAGGGCATTCCCCCAAATGTTGTCACTTACAGTTGTTTGATTCAAGGTCTGTGCAACTTAAGCAGATGGGAGGATGTTCGCAAGATCTTTTCTGAGATGAAGGTTTATAAAATTATTCCAAATGTTATTACTTTCACTATAGTGGTGGATGCACTGTGTAAGGAAGGGCATATAGAAGATGCTGAAGATGTAGTCCAGATCTTGATCCAGCAAGGTCAAAATCCCAATCTAGTCACATACTGTTCCTTAATGGATGGGTACTGTTTACAGAGGCGAATAGATGACGCAAGGAGAGTTTTCAATACCATGATTGCTAGCGGCCTTACACCTGATCTCCATAGCTATGGTATTCTGATAAATGCCTATTTCAAGAGCAAGAAAGCGGAAGCAGCCATAAATCTCTTTCGAGAGATTCAGCATAAAGGTTTAACACCTAATATTGTTGTTTATACCACTGTCTTGCAGGGGTTATTTAGTTCAGGAAGGTATCTTAGTGCACGAGAAATTTTCAACGAGATGCAAGCTTCTGGCATGAAGCCTGATTTTCATACTTACTGTGTGGTGTTGGATGGATTATGCAAGACTGGACATGTCGACGAAGCATTGCAGTTATTCCATGCAATGGAAGCTGATGGAACAAATTTTCACATTGGAATGTACAATATCATGCTTGATGGGTTGTGCAAAAGCAGGAGGCTCGATAGTGCTCGAGAACTTTTCAACAATCTCTCCCTTAAAGGATTGGATCTTGATGTTAGAACATACAACACCATGATTGCTGGTCTGCTTTCAGAAGGTCTGCTCATCGAAGCCAAAGAGCTTGTTAAAAAGATGGAGGGGAAGGGTTGCCTGCCAAATGATTTTACATACAATGTTATACTACGAGGACTCCTTAAGGGAGGTCATTATGATGATGCGATGGTCTATCATGAAGAAATGGTTCATAGAGGATTCTCGCTGGATGCACATACCTTTTCCATTTTACTTGATTTATCTGCTGAGAATCAGAACAATCCTTCTGTGCTAATGTTGATGCTGAAGATTGATCCCGATAGCAAGAAGTTCATAGATGGGGAACGAAGAGGACCTTCACATTAGTTGCAACATGTTAGTCCTGCCATTTATTTTGGCCTTTGAACTTTAATTTGCTGGAACTAACATTATTTAGGTTCGAATTGGATCCTGTTGTCACTTATCATCTTTGATGCAACTGAGCCTTAGAGGAGATCTCTTGGTCATATTTTGTGAAACACCTCCAAGGTCTTTAGTTTGGTGGAGAAGCTGCATTGCTTAGGGAAGTTCAATTGACAAGTGTGGCAGATCAAAGAAATCTGCTGCTGTTAATTGGACTTGTACCACTTCTTCTAAGAGACTTCTTGTTGATCTTTCCATGGAGAACCTCAGTGTGGCATATCACTTAAATGGTAACTTGTACAGGTTCATTTTGTTCATTATTCATGTGTGTCCGTAATTTAGCCTGCCTGTCAATTTTACTTCGGATAACTAATATTTGATTTTATTGGAAATAAGAAATGAAATGGCATATGCAAATATAGTTTGAGACTTTGAATTTCTAGAGAAGTTTTAAGCTGCAGTTCTGTAATTTCGAGAAAACTTTTTCAAAGATAAAATTGTTACTTTTATTTTAATTCCTAAATGGTGCCAAAAGTGCAGCCAGTTCGAAAGTGTAAAAACTTTCTAGACCAGTTTCTTGCTTTGGATTCACAGTTTGAGGTCCTATAAATAGGCATGGTTATTGATTTGTTTTAATTGCGTTTGAGTAAACCCAAACTTTTAAGTTATTGATTTGTTTTAACTGCATTTGAGTAAACCCAAACTTTTTAAGTATGATCCAAAAAAAGTGTTCTGATCAGTTCCCGTTTAATTGTCATTGCTGTACTAAATTATACAGACATTCAGTAGAAGTGTAGCAAAAATATCGTTCTTTTGCAGTAACCTTGAATAGTTCATCCAAGAAACTCTCCGTCCTTTTTTTAAACAAATGCATGTGTTGTTTAGTTATTTATTGACAATAGGCTTGATTATTGGATTCTTTAATATTAATAGTTGGTTTTTCCTGAGTTGCAATAATAACTAAAGAATAGGTTTTTATTGCACAGCTGCTATTGGGGCACCATCTGCAATAAAACTAAGAAAAAGAAATAAGTCGTACTGGCACATCAGAATGGTACTAAGATACTTTTTCTACTCTAGCAAGTTCCATATCTATCAATTTTGGTTTTTAAATTCTTTTTCATTTTTGGTGGAACAGGGGAGGAGTGGAATTTGTATTGCAGAGTGTGAAGATTTGACGTCAGCTCAGACTTGATAGAGACAATTTATTAGGTATTGAAACATATGGAAATAGTTATGACGAATTTTATATGAAAGGAATTGGCTGAAGTGATCAAGACTAATTTTTTAAATCAGAGAAAATTTTTTTTTAACTTCAAACTACGTCTTAGATAACGTTTGTTCAAATTGAATTGTGAGAAAATTAAGAGCAAGTCTTAATTTTAATTTATTTTATTTTATTTCTCAGTGGCAAACATTGAATGACAAGTCTTGCGTTGAAGTTTTATGTAAGAGATCTGTTTTACAACGGTTCAATTCATGTTCAGTAACTGTCCTGTGGACAACTTACTTATCTTTTCTAATGGCCTTTAGAGGAGGATTCCCAATTTTGTGCAGCAACATCCAAATTGTTAGACGCAAAAACTAATCTTTGTTTCTGAATGCCGGAAAGAAGTTTGTGATAAAAGTTTTCTGTAAATGGGATTTTTGTAGTAGCATCTATTCTGTGTGGCTGGTTCAGTTTGTGAAGAATTTCGTCACAATATTCATTCTTACGGTATGCAGTAAATTTGAATTATTTGCTGGAAAGATACTCAGCATAGAATGGAAATAGTGAATGTGTATCTTGAATACCAGTAACCATTATTTGTTTGTCATAAAATTGTTTGACAAGGTATTATTGGTCACTGAGGTGGAATTGAGAGATATTTGTTGTTTTTGCTAGTAATGATTGGGCATGATCTGGAGTGATATGAATGACCTTTCAGTAATTGTAAAGTATCTATTTGCTCCTGTTATAGACCTCAAACCTGGAGAAAAAGGCCTGGACTGACCTACTAGAAAAGAATTTCTTTTGATACAGCGCATGGCCTGGAGTACCTGCATGAGCATTGCAATGGTAAAATTGTTCACCCTGATTTAAAGCCCGGAAACATCCATCTGGATGAAACTTGGAAGATTTCTTCGGTGGATACAAAATTACCAGATTGCAAGTTGAGTCCAGGGAACTATGGGACACATTGCCCCTGAATAATTGTATGTTCCTGCTGTGGTCTTATCGGTGCATTAATGAAATGGGTAAATACGTTGATTAGTGGTGTTGGAATATTTGAACTAGCTTAATTGATCTCTTTATTTAGCTTTTTTGTCAAAGTTTACGATGTTGTCAAAGTGTTATCAGTAATCTTGAGTGATTGCAATTTGCAAACTAATCTTTGTCTTTGGAAGACTTCGTTTATTCGTTAGTCGATTAGTAGGTCTTGGTTACTGAGTTGGTTGCCTCTAGTTCCAGTTCTAATTAAATTGGAAAGTTTCTTGTAGTGTTTGAGTCGGTTGTCTTACTGTAGTAGATGCTTATATCTAGTGGGGCTGCTGCAATTTTGTCTACACAAGATAGAGCCTTCATGGCACCCACCAAGTTGCATCTGAAGGAAACCCCAATCTAGATGAACTTTGGTCTAACATCCAATCCACAGCCTGCTTTAAGTTGAAAGACATTTGTCCTGAGATACCGGTCCAAGGCATTTGTGAATTGGATTGTATTTGGTTGGTTGTTGGATCATGTTCATCTAAATCTGAGCTGGAATGGAATTGCAATGCTTTTTTGAAGAACGTCGGCATTTCTGCTCGTAAATATGCGTCCACTAGTTAAAACTAATTTACTGAATGATCACTTGTCCAGGACATTTGCATGTCTATTGTTTATATTTCGCAATGCTGCTTGATCCTTCCCTTTTTGTATTGCTGTCAGTTATAGTTTGTCTTTGACCATGGAAAGGCATAGAGTTGTGTGTGATTGTGATGAATGATATTCATCCTGCAAGTTTGGGTGTCCCCCTTATGGAAAGGCATAGAGTTTGTCTTTTAGTCTTTTTGGGGGTGGGTCTCTCATGGCACACCCCACTACCTGCTGAGCCTCCTTTCTCCTCGGCCTCGGAGAGGCAAAAATTAAGACGACAAAAAAAAAAAAAAAAAAAAGGAATCGACCATTTAACTATTCATTTCCTTCATTTTATACTGAAATCGGTGAATGCATTAGATACCGATTCCTCATAAAAAATGGAATAGTATTACATAGGAAGTTCTTTTATCCATAATCGAATTCCAACTAAAAAATAAGGAATAATTCAGAATGAATTTAAGGCTTAAGAAACTTCTGAATTATGGGTGTGACTCAGCCAATGAGTATAAGCTCCATTATATTTTAAAAAACTCACCTTCTAATTTTTCCTTGCCACATATAGTTTGAACTTTTGCTCTATTCTATTTTTTTTTTTCTCATTAACAAGGTAGTCAATACATGTATTTAAGATTATTAACGTTGGTCAAGTGATCAAGGGAGTTCTTGTTAATAGGTTCAGGAAAGTCAGTCGAGCTCCATGAACTGGACTTTGACATGCCCAAGCTTTAAAATATAAATTGGGCTTTCGAGCATTTCAACTCATCATTTAATATAAATTTTGGGCTTATATCGGGTTCAGTCCAAACTTATTATTAACTACATAATTATATATAATATATTAATATTTATGAATTATAATGAATTTGTAAATAAAGTATTCATATTTTAATGTTATAATATATATAATAATATATATCATTTAATATGCAATTATATGTATATTATATACATAATTATACATGTGAACAAGTCGGGCCTTAATTGAGTTTGAGCCTAGTAAATAACATTTCTTATTAGATAAAGTAGGAGAAATTCCACTTTGTCTCTTTATATTGTCTCCTAACTCTGACAAGTGATTAGTTATTCCCTACTTTAAACCGAAAAAACATACATTATGAAATGAAGTATTATTTGAAATCAAAAGAATTTTAGACTTTGTGTACATAAAAATGAACCAATGATATGTTTATTTGCAATCACCTTAAAAATTATGAGTGTACATAGTGCAACAAGGAGATATGCAGTTTTGGTTCCCAACCTGTGCGCTTTTAATCCCTAACGTTTCAACGAAAGCAAATCTAATCTACAATATTTGGCATTAAGTGTGGCTTCTTTTTTAGTTCCTATGGTTTCATTAAAAACAAATATGAGCCTTTAATGTTTCTAATTTGAAGTAGATTTAGAACAATTGATGGATATTCACAATTACTAAGGAGCAAATGGGGGTTCATGTACAATTACTAAGGAACAATTGATGGATATTCATGTGCAATCACGTATTTATTAAATTCATTTTTGTTAATAAAGAAGCAAATAGGGGTTAACGTTGAACAAAAAAATAACTTGCGTGATGGTACACGAGTAACTAATCAATCAAAAATTCTAAAAAAGAGAAAATTTATCAAACTATGTGCAAAAATTTAGCAATAGACTATTATAGGTTATTTTGTTCGGGAATAGTGGTCATAAAGAATGAAAATGGGTTCTAAATTGATGAATTGAGTGCTCAACTCATTTTAATGATGTAATTTAACAAATTTCTTTTCTTTCCCTATCTTTTACTAGTTAATTTATTAGTACATGGGCTATTAGTACTTAATCTTGTTTAAAGTTAGTTGAGATTTTGTTTCCACCGAACTAAAAGAATAGAATAGGTCGATATCTCTAGTAAATCAAAGTCAGCATTTAATAGCTATTTTGCTCCAATTTTTTTTGTACCAATAAAAAATTAAAGATTTAGTTACTATTTGAAATCTAACTTGCTATCTTCATCCATGGACCCCTTACTCAAACTTATGGGAGTATTATCCATATGGTGTGCATTTACCACCACTTCTTATTGTTCATGAAAATCATTATTCATATGGTGTGCATTTACCACCACTTCTTATTATTCATGAAAATATCTACCCTTTAAAAGCATTGATATAATCGTCATGCTAGTTGTCTATATTTCCTAGCCTAATCATAGGCATGAAAGATGTGTTTAAATATAGTATTATTTAAAATAATTGTTGTAGTATTTTTTATAATCAAATGCATATGAGATAAATATGTAATTGGAAATATAAAAAGATAGTTGAAAAACGTCACCATGTAAGCCAAATGCATTACCTCAAAATGAAAAGCAGCAGCGCTTTAAAATTCGCTTGAAAAAACTCCACATGTAAATTTGTTCACCTTATGATTGTGAATACTAGTACTTTGTATACATATTTACCCCTTTAGTATGTAAAATGGGAAGTTGAATATATGATCAGTTATATTCTTATTGAAATGTAATTGCTTTCGAAGTACTTTATTACATAAAGTTTGAAAGTGTATTCACCTATATGATCATAGAAGTGGTGCCATTTCCAACAAAGGTATGATTTACTTTTGTAAATGATTATGAAACTATGATGGAGCACATGGGCGTTAATAGTGCTAAATTTTTGTGAATTGATCAAATATGTATATGCCATGTGTGTGGTATTTCTAGGCTAATTTATAAATCTTGGTTTACTATTTTAAAAACTACCAAGATTTGATTAGTTCAAAGTGATATACTAACACTAAAAGAAAAGTTTAAATCTAACGATATATATCTTTATGCATGGTGTTTTATGTATATTAGTTTATTTATTTCATTCACAAACAAAGTGGGGGATTGTTGGAATAGTTTGTGAATTGAAATGAAAATAAAGTTTGTTAAATTCATTATATTGGACAAAAACAAAACTTAATGTAGCCTCTTGATGACTATTATAGTGATGAAATGGTTTTGGCATTTTTGTTTTCATTGAAGGATACTAATTACAACCTCTTGATGATCGTTAAAATGGTTTTGGTATTTTGCCCATAAAAAAAACTAAAGCAGCCTCTCGATGATCATTGAAGTAAGGAAATTGTGGCTTTTTAATTTTGTTATCTTTTGGATTGTCTTTCCTATATAAATGACAAACTTTTAGTAAAAACAAACTTAGTTAATTTGATTCTTTCTTAGTAAAAGACCTTTTGGTTTTACTATCAAAAGTTCTTCATTTTTGTTGTATCCTAGAAATATATTGCTTTAACTCAGAAACAAACTACTAAGTATAATGGGGCAATAAACATCTTAAGGATAGTGTTTGTACATGCCTAGGGCTATTATCGAACCGAACTGCTCGCGGCTGTAATCGAACAGAGCTGCTCGCGAGCACCTCGGTCAAAAACTTGACTCGGACTCGGGTTGATCAAGTTCGAGTCGAGTTTTAACAGCTCAATAAGCCGAGCAAGTCGAGTTTCAGGATCCAGATACAATGCTTAAAAGTTCGTCGAACCTTATCGAGCTTTTTAATTTTAATTCGTTAATATATTATTATTATGAAATTATCTTTATGCCAAAAAAAGTTGTTGAATTTACGAAATGTTTCTAGTTGTATGAAATTCTTTAAAGGGCTGTCAAAAATTGAAATTTATGAACTCGCATGGACTCGAGCTCGAGTTCTATGAGCAATCATCGAGCTCAAATTCGAGTTCTAATGATACTATTCACTCAAGTTCGAGTATCTTTTTTGCACGTCGAGTCGAGCTCGAATATGGCAATATTTGAGCTCGAATTGACTCAATTACATCTCTATATACGCCTCAAGAATCTTCAACGAATCTCCTATCTTTCTGAAATTTATTAGTGAAGTTTCTGCATTGGTCTATTGTCTTGTTTTATTTTCTTAACAATGTGCATGTGATATAAGATAAAGAATGATATCAAAATAGGACAAAAAAGGCATATGATTTATTAAGTGTGTCAACTAAAACATTTTTATGCTTTTAATTATAAAATAGAAAATGAGGACAAAATGATGTTGGGAGGACAAGGAAGTCCAGTAAGTGTGGTGGTTAGTTTAACGTGATAATTGAAAATGGAGATGTTGAGCTACAATTAATAGGTAACAAAAAAAGCATTTAATTACACATTTTTTAAAACACCATAGCTCGTAGAGAGTTTATTATAGTAGAGATTTTATGGCCAACTTTGCTAAGCATCATTAAGGAAAACCACATGCTCCTTTTTTTTTCTTTTCTCTTAAACATGTAAGTTATATATCTAATGATGCAAAGCAATTTTGGTTCAACAATTTAAGTCAGAACTCAAGTATGTGTGGATATGTTTGGTGTATGTTTGCATGTATGTAAATTGTACAATATGCAACTAACAAAATTCTTTTTTTTTTTATTAGGTGACACATATTATTGAAAATAATCGATTGGATCAACTGGGTATTTGGATTTTGCTTATTTCGTGTTACAATCAACCAAAAAAAAAAAAAGCTTTAATTTTACTTTTTGTCCTCAATGAAAATTTTGTAGGGAAAATGACCTGTTTAATCCCTCATATTTCGTAAAAATATTCTTTTCGTCCCTCACTTTTAAAATAAAACAAATTTATCCCTGACATTTAAAAATTAAAGCTATTACATCTCTGAACCTAATTTTCAATCTGAATCAAACCATCCAATAACTCAGTAATAAATTTCGGAAATAGAATTGACAGATCACGCGGTCAACTTCATCATATTTACATGACATTTATTAAACCAAAAAAATAAAAATTATAATATAAAAGGCCATTCTTTGTCTTGGAATAGTAGATTTTTTTTTGGTAAATCTTTTCATGCACTATTAGTATATCCGATTGCGAATCTAGATGTGTATCATAAATATAAAATTTGATGTTTAAATTTAAATTAAAATGATATGACAGTACATAAAACCGTCAGTGTATACAATGATAATGTAGGAAAGATTAATTTTTCTTTTTTATGTTATAATTTTTTATTTTTTATTTTTAGGTTTATTAAATTTCACATGAATATCAAGTTGAGTTAACCAAGTGATCTATCAATTACACCCCCAAAATTTGTAATCAAGTTGATTGGTGGTTCGATTCAGATTGAAATTTGGATTCAAGGATGTAATAACTTCAGTTTTTAAATGTCAAGAACGAAATTGTTTCGTTTTAAAAATGAGGGATGAAAAGAATATTTTTGTGAAATCTGAATGATGAAACCGATCATTTTCCCAATTTTGTAATACTTTCTCTCCATTAACAATCTCGTATATCCTTTAAAAAATCAACATTTGGTTTGTTTAAATGAAATTGCAATTATAATGATTACTCACTTGGGTCCATGCGTATTTGTGTGGTAAAGATGTACTACTTAAAAATCCTCCTTACAGGCATATTCAACTCCAACAACAAAATATATTTTGTAAGCATTACTTTCTCAAATCTCGATTTAAGTTGGCTAGTAAAACTTCTATATTTTTTAATAAGTCAAAGAGCCCAAAACCTCTTATTTACAATTTTTTTTTACTTAATCACCCAACCTAATCTTTCCGCAATCAACAATTAACACTAGTCTGTTATAAAGTAAGCCACCTAATAAATTCACCACTAGAACATTTCGAAAGCGAAGAAACCGGTCAAATAGTCAATTACTGCACTAGATTTCGCATGTGAGAAGAAAATGAAAATTAAGCCATTGCAAAAGCCTTCAAGTAATTAATTCAACTTTCAGTAATTAAGCTCTGATAAAGCGCGTATTCATTCATTCACATTTGAGATGTATGGTCTGAGTATCCTCATCAGCTGTAGAAGCAGAAGATGATGGCGATGCAGAGAAGAGCTTCTTCTGCCATAATTCTTTCCATTGCTCAGTCTCAGGAAGCAGCAGCGGCTTCATCAGGTACCGCTGCTACTGCTAGGTGCACTACTCTTGCTTCATTTCTCTCTGCATTCCCAAACCCTAAACCCCAATTAGCTTTTTATTCTGCTATTAGTGGCAAAGTTGAGAGTTCTTCTGGAAAAGCTCTGAAATTTCAACCGGGATTGAGGAATGATATTAATAATGTCGACAGTCTTGATGATGCTCTGAGCTTGTACCGGCAGATGGTCCGGATGAGGCCTCTGCCTTGTGTTATTCAGTTCAATCAATTGCTGGACCGTATTGTTAAGATGAAGAATCATTATGTATCTGCTATTTCCCTTTTTAGAGATATGTGTGTCAAGGGCATTCCTGCTGATGAGGTCACCCTCAATGTTGTGATTAATTGTTACTGCCTCTTGGGTCGAGTGGATTTGGGGTTTCCTGTGTTGGCTGCTTTCATGAAGCGTGGTCTTGTCCCTAATGTAGTCACCTTTAGTACTCTACTCAAAGGACTCTTTCGAGAATATGGGGTCCCCCAGGGACAAGAATTGTTTAAGAAGATAATATTCGAAAAACTTTGCGAGCCCAATGAAGTTATGTTTCTGATTGTGATAGATGGGCTTTGTAAGGTGGGGAACATTCAAACGGCCATTGAATTCCTAAGAGTCATGGAAAAAAGAAGAAGATGTAAGCCCACCGTTTATGTGTACAGTACAATCATTGACAGCTTGTGCAAGGATAAAATGGTTGATGAAGCTCTTGCCCTCTTACAGGAGATGATTGAAAAGGGCATTCCCCCGAATGTTGTCACTTACAGTTGTTTGATTCAAGGTCTGTGCAACTTAAGCAGATGGAGGGACGTTGACAAGCTCTTTTCTGAGATGAAGGTTTATAAAATTGTTCCGAATGTTATTACTTTTAGTATAGTGGTGGATGCACTATGTAAGGAAGGGTGTATAGAAGATGCTGAAGAGGTAGTCCGGATCATGATCCAGCAAGGTCAAAATCCCGACCTGGTCACATACACTTCCTTAATGAATGGGTACTTTTTACAGAGCCGAATAGATGACGCAAGGAGAGTTTTCGATACCATGGTTGCTAGCGGCTTTACACCCAATCTCCATAGCTATGGTATTCTAATAAATGCCTATTTCAAGACCAAGAAATTGGAAGCAGCCATGAAGCTCTTTCGAGAGATTCCACATAAAGGTTTAACACCTGATATTGTTATTTATAACACTGTGTTGCACGGGTTATTTAGTTCAGGAAGGTATCTTAGTGCACGAGAAATTTTCAATGAGATGCAAGCTTCTGGCATGAAGCCTGATTTTCCCACTTACTGTGTGGTACTGGATGGATTATGCAAGACTGGACATATCGATGAAGCATTGCAGTTATTCCATGAAATGGAAACTGATGGAACAAATCTTCACATAAAAATGTACAATATCATCATTGATGGGTTGTGCAAAAGCAGGAGGCTCGATAGTGCTCGAGATCTTTTCAACAATCTCTCCCTTAAAGGATTGGACCCTAACGTCACAATATACAACACCATGATTTCTGGCCTGCTTTCAGAAGGTCTGCTCATCGAATCTAAAGAGCTCATTGGAAAAATGGAAGAGAAGGGTTGCTTGGCAAATAGTGTTACATACAATGTCATTCTGCAAGGACTCCTTAAGGGAGGTCATTATGATGATGCAGTGGTCTATTATGAAGAAATGGTTCACAGAGGATTCTTGCTGGATGCATCTACGTTTTCCCTTTTACTTGATTTATCTGCTGAGAATCAGAACAATCCTTCTGTGCTAATGTTGATGCTGAAGATTGATCCCGATAGCAAGAAGTTCATAGATGGGGAACGAAGAGGACCTTCACATTAGTTGCAACATGTTGGTCCTGCCATTTATTTTGGCCTTTGAACTTTAATTTGCTGGAACTAACATTATTTAGGTTTGAATTGGATCCTGTTGTCACTTATCATCTTTGATGCAACTGAGCCTTAGAGGAGATCTCTTGGTCATATTTTGTGAAACACCTCCAAGGTCTTTAGTTTGGTGGAGAAGCTGCATTGCTTAGGGAAGTTCAATTGACAAGTGTGGCAGATCAAAGAAATCTGCTGCTGTTAATTGGATTTGTACCACTTCTTCTAAGGGACTTCTTGTTGACCTTTCCATGGAGAACCTCAGTGTGGCATATCACTTAAATGGTAACTTGTACAGGTTCTTTTTGTTCATTTTTCATGCGTGTCAGTAATTTAGCTTGCCTGTCAATTTTACTTCGGATAACTAATTTTGATTTTATTGGAAATAAGAAACGAAATGGCATATGCATATAAAGTTTGTGACTTTGAATTTCTAGAGAAGTTTTAAGCTGCATTTCTGTAATTTTGAGAAAACTTTTTCTAAGATAAAATTGTTACTTTTATTTTAATTCCTAAATGGTGCCAAAGGTGCAGCCAGTTTGAAAGTGTAAAAACTTTCTAGACCAGTTTCTTGCTTTGGATTCACAGTTTGAGGTCCCATAAATGGGCATGGTTATTGATTTGTTTTAACTGCGTTTGAGTAAACCCAAACTTTTTACGTATGATCCAAAAAAAGTGTTCTGATCACTTCCTGTTTAATTGTCAATGCTGTACTAAATTATACAGACATTCAGTAGAAGTGTAGCAAAAATATCGTTCCTTTGCAGTAACCTTGAATAGTTCATCCAAGAAACTCTCCGTCCTTTTTTTTTAAACAAATCCATGTGTTGTTTAGTTGTTTATTGACAATAGGCTTGATTATTGGATTCTTTAATATTAATATTTGGTTTTTCCTGAGTTGCAATAATAACTAAAGAATAGGTTTTTATTGCACAGTTGCTATTGGGTCACCATCTGCAATAAAACTAAGAAATAGAAAAAGTGTCTTACTGGCACTTCACAATGGTAATAAGTTCCATATCTATTGGTGGAACAGGGGAGCAGTGGAATTTGTATCGCAGGGTGTGAAGATTTGACGTCAGCTCAGACTTGATAGAGACAATTTATTAGGTATTGAAACGTATGGAAATAGTTGTGAAGAATTTTATATGAAAGGAATTGGCTGAAGTTATCAAGACTAATTTTTTAAATCAGGGAAGATTTTTTAACTTCAAACCACGTCTTAGATAAGTTAGTTCAAATTGAATTGTGAGAAAATTTAGAGCAAGTCTTAATTTTAATTTATTTTATTTTATTTCTCAGTGACAAACATTGAATGACAAGTCTTGCATTGAAGTTTTATGCAAGAGATCTGTTTTACAACGGTTCAAAATCATGTTCATTAACTGTCCTATGGACAACTTAATTATCTTTTCTAATAGCTTTAGAGGAGGATTCCCAATTTTAGACGGAAAAACTAATCTTGTTTCTGAATGCAGGAAAAAAGTTTGTGATAAAACTTTTCTATAAATGGGATTTTTGTAGTAGCATCTATTCTGCGTAGCTGGTTCAGTTTGTGAAGAATTTTGTCACAATATTCATTCCTACAGTATGCGGTAAATTTGAATTATTTACTGGGAAGATATGCAGCATAGAATGGAAATAGTGAATGTGTATCTTGAATACCAGTAACCATTTTTTGTTTGTCATAAAATTGTTTGACAAGGTATTATTGGTCACTGAGGTGGAATTGGGAGATATTCATTGTTTTTGCTAGTTATGATTGGGCATGATCTGCAGTGATATGAATGATCTTTCAGTAATTGTAAAGTATCTATTTGTGCCTGTAATAGACGTCAAACCTGGAGAAAAAGGCCTGGACTGATGTGCTAGAAAAGAATTTCTTTTGATACAGCACATGGCCTGGAGTACCTGCATGAGCATTGCAATGGTAAAATTGTTCACCCTGATTTAAAGCCTGGAAACATCCATCTGGATGATAACTTGGAAGCTTTCTTCGGTGGATACAAAATTATCAGATTGCAACTTGAGTCCAGGGAACTATGGGACACATTGCCCCTGAATAATTGTATGTTCCTGCTGTGGTCTTATCGGTGCATTAATGAAATGGGTAAATACCTTGATTAGTGGTGTTGGAATATTTGAACTAGCTTAATTGATCTCTTTATTTGACTTTTTTGTCAAAGTTTACACTGTTGTCAAAGTGTTATCAGTAACCTTGAGTGATTGCAATTTGCAAACTAATCTTTGTGTATGGCAGACTTCGTTTCTTCATCAGTCAATTAGTAGGTCTTGGTTATTGAGTTGGTTGCCTCTAGTTCCAGTTCTAATTATATTGGAAAGTTCCTTGTAGTGTTTGAGTTGGTTGTCTTACTGTAGTAGTTGCTTATATCTAGTGGGGCTGCTGCAATTTTGTCTACACAAGATAGAGCCTTCATGGCACCCACCAAGTTGCATCTTAAGGAAACCCCAATCTGGATGAACTTTGGTCTAACATCCAATCCAACACCAGTTTTAAGTTGAAAGACATTTGTCCTGAGATACCGGTCCAAACCATTTGTGAATTGGATTTGAATTTGGTTTGTTGTTGGACCAAGTTCATCTAAATGTGAGCTGGAATGGATATGCAGTGCTTTTTTGAAGAATTTCATGCATTTCTGCTTGTAAATATGCGTCCGCTAGTTGAAACTAAGTTGCTGAATGATTACTTGTCCAGGACATTTGCATGTCTGTTGTTTAGCTTTCACAATTCTGCTTGATTCTTCCTTCCTTTAATACTGCTGTCAGTTATAGTTTGTCTTTGACCATGGAAAGGCATATAGTTTGTGTGATTGTGATGACTGATATTCATCCTGCAAGTTTGGGGTGTTTTATTTATTTATTTTTTGGCCCCCTTTTATAATGAGAAGAGTTCTAGAATTGAAATCTTGATGCATTTCAGTGGTTTATTTTATTATCTTTATTTTCTTATGTTTAAAAGAGGTGAGGGTCATAAATGTGTCGTGAAATTCACACTGGTTTCTTTTGGGAATGTCTTGGATGGATTGAGTTTTAGATAAAAGGCGGTTGTCTGGTTGTCCTTGAATCCTCAGAGTTTGTGTTTCCCCTTGCTTGCAGAAGCTATTGCTTCTTTTCTTCTTTAGAGGATTGAATAACAATTTGACATCCTGATTCCTGTATACTGCGAAAGTTTGGCATTCTGGCAACTAGATCTGTTTAACTATTTTTGGAGGCAGTTGCCATATTTTACATCATATGACTACAAGTTATAATTGTCGATATTTGTGCAATCAGGTGTTCAGTCAATCTTTAGCTTGGAGGGAGTGAAAAAGGGTGACTAATTAATACTTAAGGCTATTATTCTTCTGTATGTACTATATCATGTCTGCATTTTATTGCATTGTGATCTTTTTCTTCCTTAGCTTTTGATTGTACGTAATTTCTGAACACTAGAACCAACCATGCTGGAGTTGTACAACTACAGAGAACATAGAACATAGACTGTCGAGTGTTGTTTCACTGAAGCTAACATTCGCAAGGGTTACTACATTCTGTTTCAAGCTGCTAACAATTTTCCTGCAATGATCAAACCTTATTGCTGATCTTTATATCTAGTTCATACTGTCTTTGCGCGCCGCCGGGGGGGGGGGGGGGGTTGGTTAAAAAAAATATTTTTATTTTGCAAAGCTGTTTTTGAAGTTATTTATTTTTTCACTTTGATGCATTTTTCTGATTAAAATTTGGAAGAAGCCTTTTGTTTTTTCGCGTGTACTAGTTTCAAGACCTTTTTTTTTTCACTACCAATGTGATTTATGTTGCATTTTTTGTCACTTGTCCTCGAACACAAGTCTTGGGTGATCGGATCATATTTGCGAGGAAGGTATGTCTATTACATGGACTTATGAACAGGTATGTGCAGGAACTAAAGATGTGCTTTATAAGCTGCTTCTAGGTGCTACTACGCTGGATAATTTTCGCATGTATTTGTTGCGCCGCATTTTTCAAAAATAAAAGGGGGTATTGGGAGGGACGAAATGTCCTTTCAAGGTCCAATGCAAAATTCAATAATGATCCATTGAAGGGGTCACGAGTAGACAAATATAAAATTGGAAGAAAATAAAAGAAAATTAAAACATGTATATATAAATAAAAGTGACCAAAGAAAAAGCAGATGTGACATAATGTGTATGGGGGATTAAAACTGGTGAGATAATTTTTCTTTTTGTAGAGGAGTAATAGCATGTTAAGAAAGTTATATTCATTCATTTCTCATATTTGAAAGGTGACATTTCTAATGGAAACAAGCAGATGAATTAATTTATTTTCTAATTTTATGTGAAATGTAAATCTAAATGATATGGTTCACGAGAATAATATAATAAAAAATATCATACAAATGAGAAAAATAATGAGAATTTAGTGAACGACATACAAGGAATGAATCTGATGAGTGAATGATTTAAGGGTCATTGGATTAACTTATTTCTACAGGTTTTTACTAGCGCTGAACTAGTAAGGAAATGGAAGGAGAAGTCGTGATTAGGGTTAGACTAGTATCGTAATGTCACATGCTTATACTTTATAATAAAAAAAATAAAGTATGAATAAGTAAATACATAAGAGGACATAGAATATATAAAACATAAGCATAATATTTAGATGCAAAAATTCTAATGAAAGTGGATAAAGCATAAAAGCATATAAACACTTAAGTTACGTAAACACATAAAACCTAACTATTACGTTGAGGAAGCTAATTAAAATTTAAAAGGGAAAATATAAGAAAATAAATCTATCAACATCTCTATCAACATCTCTATTACATTTGTTAATCTAGTTAAAATTTTGCAAAATATAACCTATCTATTATATTTACCTATCTAATTACAAATTTTGCAGAAGAAAAAATATAACCCATCTATTACATCTCAGGTATTCGAATACATTCTAAATAATTATAAGACTTGAATTACATGAATAAACATAGAAATGAACAAGTGCTAAAAGTAAATAAATAGAAAAATAAAAAGTACATAAAACACGTAGGAGCACATAAGAGCACGTAATTAAAATTTAAATGATAATGGGGGTACATTCCTTTAAAATAGTGACCAACTGAGGGGAGGAAGAATTATCTATTACTCAAAATTAACAAAAGTATCAAAACACCAATTTAATTGACAATTAATTGTTAGAGATAAAAAAAACTTAATTCATTAAAAAGAAAACTCACTAATGTCACACGATAAATAATAAACTAACATTCTAAACATGAATGAAGGACTAAAGAGCCAAGAACATTTTTCATGATAATTTTTAATGATAAGGGCAACAAAGATGCTTAGGGACTAAAGTAAATAAAGTTTTTGGGGCAAAAATGTAAATTTATTAAAATTTAGGGGGGCCAAAATATAAATTCTGCAAAAATAAATTATTTACTAACCTTTTATTCATAATTTACTCAAATTTAGACTAACTAGATAGGCTTGTCAACATGTCGGGTACGGGCCGAAATTGAAAATTTTAGACCCAGACCCGTTATAGTGTACCAATTCCGGACCCGACGGGTCTTGTGCTTACGGTTCCGGAGCTGGGTTCGATGGCTCCCGGGTCAAGTCTGGGTCTACTCGAAAAAAAAAGACCTGACAAAATTTGTGTATGAATTGGCTTACACAAAAGTATTTATTGTAAAAGAATTATTATTGTATTTAGAAGTATTTATATTTTATAATTATTAATATATTAAACGAGTTCGAGTTGAATATGGGTCGGAATCCTATATTCCGTATCTGACCCGTTTTTTTGTTAGAGAACCGAGTACGGGTTTAGGTCAGAGTAACAGGATTATTTCCCAACCCGTACCTGAAAAAAATTAGCGGGTTTTGGCCAAGTCCGAGTCCAAACCCGAACTATTGACAACCCTATAATTAGACTACCAAAGTGATTTAGAAATCTACAAACAAAGGATTATTCGCACTAGTTTCTAAAATTGTCAAATTAAAATCCTAAATTTAACAACTTTACTTAAACCCTAATTATACTTTAAAAGTCGGAATTAATTCACCAAGACATGCATAAGCATCATAAAAAAAGACCAAGACTCCAAAAAGGAGAAATTTTATGCATTTTTTCACAATTTTTGGGGTCTTACTCTAATTTTGCAAAAATTAGAGGGCAAATTGCAAATATTATTAGGAACTTATCTCAAACAAAGTTTTAGAAGATTAGAGAATGCCTAAAATACACAAAAATGTCCAAAACTACGTATTAAAAGAAAATAAAGTTAAAATATGGTTTTGGTCCCTATTTTCTTAACCCAAGTTCTAACATCATGAAGACTTAAATTGATCAATTCTAAGTTTTGATGATAACAAAACAAAATGATGATTTGAACTAATGATTTCATATAAGAAAGTGTTCAGAACCGATGTCAAGTCCAAAAGAATGAAGAAAATATTTCAATTAAATGGAGCAAAAAATTGTTGAGACAATCGGACGCTCGTATCAGACGCTCTTCAAAACATCAGACGTCCAATAATCACGAAGTACATATTGGACACTTCGATCGGACACTCATCCCTCCTATCGGCCATCCGACACAAAAAAGGTTGGAACTTGAACCTTCTATTTACTATCAGCCGCACAAATTCCATTGGCTGTTCGATAAGAGTTGAGAACATACTACCGGATGCACAGAGAAGAGCATCGAACGTCTGATACTTTAAAGGCTAGTTTTTTAACAGATAGTTTCTTGACCGTTAGAGAGACTTTTGGGGCAAAAGTTCGCCACTTATAAGGACCCCCAAAGCATGAGAAGAAGAAAGACTTCTGCCTACACAAAATACAAAATTTCTAGAGTTATTTTTGGATAGAAAAATATTTTGATTATTGTATGGGTGTGGAGAAAATTGGGTTTGTGAGATTTCTCAAAGAGAGAACTAAAATTAATTTTCATGCCTGGACAGATTTGGTGAATCTGTTGAGTCTTCACATGACTCTTAAAGAATCACAAATCAAAGCAGTCTATATATATATACATACATACATACACACACACGAAGAGAATCAAAAGTGACACTCCACCTCGCCCTTGGTAAATCAAACTTACAACGTGTAGGTGAAGTGGCTCAACCAACTAGTACAAGTTCCATTACCCCCTTTTGGAGTACCCCAAGGTGGGGTGTGATCATCACCCCCATCAAGCGGTTTCCAAGCGAATGTAATTTACAGGTCTAAGGGGTTTTGACAATGTTTAATCTGTATGTGGTAGCAGAAGGATGGTCATCATCACATTGAGTTCCATTACCCTTTTAAAAGTCAAAACCTTCTTCCTTGCCAAATACGTGTACAAAATTCGTTAAAATATATAATGCAGTAGTCTGATTTTTTGCTTTGTTCCGTTTTTTTTTTTTTTCAATAACCATGGTAGACAGGACATGTATCTAAGATTATTGAAACTAATGACAACAATCAATCGGGAGTTGAAGGGCGAAATTTTGTTAGTTAAATGCCAACCATTATTAAAATCCAAATTTTCTCTTGTTATTTGGGACGTCACAGTTTCACTTTGTTGAAAAAGTTTCCTCAGGACAAAGGTAAAGCTAGATGGATACGCTTGCATTTTAGACCTATACTCACCTGAAATTGCACTCAGTAGAGTAGTGAACGAAATTAATCACCATAAAAATTAGACGAAGCAAGAGGGGTTCCACTTTGTCTATTTGTATTGTCCCCTGGCTCTATCAAGTGATTAGAGCCCTAGTTTAAACCCAAAAAAAACCATATATTATAACATGAAGTATTATTTGAAATCAAAAGAAGAATTTTAGATTTTTTGTACATAAAAATGAACTAATAATGTTTATTTGCAATTGTTCTTCAAAACTATAAGTGGTGCACAAAAAATTAGGAAGAAATGCAGTTTCAATCCCCCATATTTGGTACCTATGCAACTTTAGTCTCTAAAGTTCAACAAAAGCAAATCCGATCCACAATGTTTGGCACTAAGTGTGATTTTAGTTCCTAAAGTTTCATAAAAAAAAAAAAAACAAATTGAATCCTTAATGTTTCTAATTTGAAGCAGGGTTAGGACAATTAATGGACTTGCACAATTATTGACCGAATCAATCATATGTAATCACATGTTTATTTCAATTAATTTTTAAAAAGAAGCAAAATAGGGTTTAACATTGAAGAATAAAAATAACTAGCATAATTAATTAATCAAGAAATCTAAAAAAATCAAAATTTGTTAAACTACGTGCTAAAATTTAGCGATAGACAACTACAGGTTATTTTGCTTACGGAATAGTAGACATAGAGAATGAAAATGAATTCTAGATTGAAGAATTGGATGCTCCAACTTGTTTTGATATTGTAGTTTAACAAATTTCTTTTGTTTTTTCTGTCATTCACCGGTTAGTTAGTTAGCATATGAGCTATTGGTTCTTAATCTTGTTCAAAGTTAGCAACTATTTTGCTTCTTTTTGTTTTAAATTCAATTTGATGGATGCATGACTGCATGTAACTAACAGTAATTGGGAATAATTCTTCAAATGTGCTAAATCTGCTTTAAACTGGATACATTGGGGGACCAAAATTG